TGGTAGTGTCTGGGTTTTCCAAAATTGTGCATAGAGAAGTCTTGCTGCGATAATCATGTATAATTTTCACTAAGCTTTTATTTAAATGAAATCATGTTGAGGTTTTGCCACTTTTGGGATTCTGATCCCTGGCATGTGGCTAAGTGCAACCCATGACCCCGGTTGTGCACTCCTCCCCTAGGAGGTGGTATCATACACATCAAGTACAAGCTGCAATGATGTTATGCATGTCATTATATCATCATGCAAATGCCACCATTTTTCAGCATTTGTGTGATGATGTCATGATGCATCTGGCATCATTTTTTCTCAGGGGTGCTACAGGTAATATAAGACTCCATTTGAATGCTCTGGCATGACTAAAGTATTGGCAGCCAGATTTTTTTTCCTTTACCCCCTTGTCTTTTGCTATAATTTGTCCAGTTGTTATACCTCTAAATTTATTTTTGACACTCCTTTCCCCACCTATATTTTGTGGAAAAATAATAGAATGACTTTCATTTGACCAAACTCTTGATCTTTGTTTCTTTTGTGCAGAAACAATCAACACAACTGCAAGAATCAGCGGGTCAGGTTCAAGATATCTGAAGCTTTTAGAGGTATAAACTTCAGATTACGTGGAACTGCAGGCAATCATTGCTTAAAAATATCCAACAAAATGTCTTTCTATAGTTGGTAATTAATTCTTTTTCTTTGTTATAGGGAGAATACATTGTTTCTCTTGAAGTATTCTCAGGTCTCAAGGAGTTGATAACTTGTGTGAATTATACATTGATCCTTAAGTAGGGACTACTTTGGTGAGGAGTTCTGGTAAATTACCTCACAGCTCCTGATCTATTCTCTTTGAAACTGTGGAATTGTGTCATGGATACAATTAGCTGAAAACAAATGTAAGATGAAGACAAATGTTCATTATAGATGAAGCCACATGAAGCTTCAATAAGACATGTTGCTTTGACAAAACTATCTATCAAAACTGCTTCACAAAGTCATGTTGTTTTCTTGCTTCTAAAAACGAAGCAAGTTGCTTTGCTTTCCTCTGCTTCAGAGCCCTTCCAGATGACAAACGGAGGAGACTGAGGGAAGCCTGTGTATCAAGTAACTTTCTGGGCTATTGTGAAGAACAAGTGGTGTTTTTTTCCTAAATAAAGTATTTTCAATGGGCAACAGAAAGCACAGTCTTAACTTAGCCTCTGTGTTCATCTATTCTGGTAGCCATCACATCAAAAAGACACCACCATGGATGCAAAGTTGGAATTAGAAATATAAGGAGAATAAAGCTATCAATGATAACTACCCTTCATGGCTATGTATTATGACCTACTAATCTGCTTTTCTTTTTCTTATCAATGAATTTTTGTTTTTTTTTTCCTTGTGGTACTTCACTTGGTTGGCAAAATAGTGGGGAAGGGCATAGTAAGGAAGCTTCTCTCACTCATCATGGCCAAATTTGTACCAGAAGCAGCTTATGAGACATTAAACCCCACTCAAAGTTAGCAGAGGAAAATACTTTCAGTGGCTATTTCTTTCTAAAAGACCAAGATGAGCTTCAGTCAGTTTGAGAGGTCTATGAAGAAGACAAGATGCCCCCTGAATCTGCAATGTTTGCAGCAGTGTCTGCAGGTGGAATGGATATCAAAAAAGTCAAAATGGCAGATGTGGCTGAACAATCAAGGCTATTTTGTCATTTTGGCAACCCCCCCCCCCCCCCCGAATGTTTGCAAAAGATAATAGCAAACTGGGTGCAGGGAGGAAATACGGTGGACAGAACTATCACTTAGAGAACACTTAAGTGATTTCAGGAAATGTGCAGTGGGCTGCAATCAAATATGAAGTTTGTCTTAAAGTCATTTGAGGCTAACATAACTTTGTCTGATGAAATACTTCTAAATGCAGGGCAGATGGTGGGCCAGGCAGTGGATTTAAGATTATCTAAAAGCAACAATCTCAGTTATTTGATATTTGCAAGAACAGATTGAGCCTCTCAAAACTAAAATGAACATCAGCAAAATGAACTCACTGGGAGGAGGATGAGCTGTCTGTTATTGGGGAAAATCCACTGAATCACAGAATCAGGTATTGTGGGAATTTATATCATTTGTGTGATTGTGTCACAACAAATGTTGTAAATTAATGGAAATACTGTAATTTATTTGCAGAATGACATCATTATGCAAATGACATAAATCACAGCAGAAATTTAGTTCACTCTATGTGAAACCTATTGCATCAAGTTCTGGTAAAACAAGATTTCATTATATTAAGAGTTACTGCTTAAAAAAAGGAAGAACTAAGATCTTAGAATACTGTTTGTGGTTTGGATTTTAAAAAATTGTCCAGAGATTCACTTTTCTGTTGAAGTTAGTGAGCTACTACTGTCAGGTTCAGCCCAAGAAACTTAGCAGGACAATTCAGGAACAGTCCAGTTACTTTATTAGCTTACACCTGCTAGACAGAATCTCGCCAGACTAACTCTAACCACCAAAGTCTGCAACTAAACACTCCAAATTCCTTAGAGTGGTGCCAGTCTCATCCTCTTAGCTTTCACATGCTCAGGCTGCGGGCTGAGGAGATGCTTGAGATACTTCTCACTCTCCCCATGACCTTGGACTTCCTCACTCAAGTCTTCCATCACAACTACACTTTGATGAAAACGCCACATTTGACACTAATTGCTCCCTTGATGTTCTCACAAGAGTGCAACAAAGCTAAAATGACATACTAGCAAGGGGCATAAGTAGCTCTCTCAAAAAACATTTTTTTTCTGGGGATTCCAGAGGAGGAATGGTGGACTGAAGATGTCTCAGTGAAAGTGGAGCCAATGACCATGGCAAAGAATGAAGAACCGGTGAGTAAACAGGCTTTTTGGAACCTCTCCAGACAAGGAGAGGATGGGAGGTTGCCCACATGTGCTCCAGACAGCTGCTCCTTGCAAGGAGACAGGACAGTGGTTTCCTGTGGGTGCGAGGGCTGGAAGATGACCAGAATAGCCATACTGATTGCAACTACAGTCGGCACCTTTTAAAGGACACTAAGTTTGCTAGCCTCACTTTCTAATGACTTTCAGAAATTGCTTATTAGCTTCTTTTAAGCTATTAGAGACTTTCAGAACAATAAGCCTGAAAATGCCGGGTGAGTTTGCCTTCAATCCTGAATGAAAGAAAATTTTAATCATAAGCTTAAGAATTTAAGGAATTTGAAATAAACAGG